ACTTTCGCTCCCCAGCGGATTGAGCCACTGAATTGATAAGCACCGTCATTGCGCCGAGTCGGTCGTCGGGGCTCGTTGTCGATGCTGCAGATTTCGCGTCAAAGCCTCGGCCGCGTTTATTGAAAACTTGCAACAGGGGTGGACGTTAAGGTCTCTGATATCTCGAGTGCACCGACCGCCGGCCGGGGAACGAAGCCATCAACACTTAGTTCTGCGTGAGGGACCGCAGGGGCTCGTAAGGTCGAGAACGTCTCTTATGAGGGGCCCCACGCAATCACACCGGCTCACTTTCCCTGCTGGGCACTTGCCGAAATTGATCGACTTGTTGGCCACGCCGCGCGCGACCTTTTACCAAAATTGCCGCTCCTTTAATATTTCACTCTCATTCCAAGATTACCTCATTCAACTTTTATATGGAAAATAAAAAAGGAGCAAATACACTTAATTAATAAAATTAAATTGTTATTTTATTTATGTACTAACTAGACTTTAAAAAAAGTTACCACTTATTAGTTTACATTAATTAAATATAAAATTAATGTGATATATTGGAAAGATAATGTAGTAAATTAATTTTACGAATAGTTTTATTTTTATTCAATTAATTTATTTAAATTAATGTTTTAATTTTTATAAATTGAGATGATTGCTATTTGAATGTGATTATTTTCTGCTCACAAACATTTTAACATAGCGACACTTGATGAATTTCTATAAATCAATTAAATGGAAAACAATTGTTCCTAAACATATCAATTAAAAATAGATTTAAGAACTATTAAAAGCTCACGATAAGTAGCAAAAATTCTTGGCATATCTTTGATATTGAAAATTTTGAAGCACTTTGTGAAAATGTGGAGGTTTGAGGAGGAAATCGTGCAAGCAACGGGGCGAAAATCTCGGCCCGCCTCGGCATTTCCTCCGAGCAAGTTCAAGTTCGCTCGTTTTCTATTACTCTTTGACGCGCTTCTACTCTTCTTTGCGTCGTTCCGCTATATTATTTGCTTTGCCCGGCGAGCCCCAGAGGCTTCTTCTTTAAAGATGATTGAGAATCCGGCCGAGAGACAAGTTGTTCGGCTAATTAATTGATGCCCGCGCGCGCTGCCAGGCCGAGTGTGATTCATTTCTTGATAGTGCGGATTATTTTCCTCCACACTAAACATAATGGCGGCGTCTGAGTGAAAAAAATAATCCGCACTCTGCAAACTCTGCGTTTTTATTTCTCTCTGCGAAAGTAAAAGGGCCGGGGAGCAGCGGTAATTGATAAAACGCCTTTTCCTCAGCAGAATATTTGCACCGGAGAAAATCAATTTGGATTTTAAATCACTTTAAAAAGGAACGAGCACTATTTATACCGTTCATGATCAAAAGGCCAAAGTAGATCATTCAATTTGAGCATTAATTTGTAAAATGGTGTAAATTTTAATTCGTCTCATCAAAGTTTATAAAATTATAATAATTAAAAAAGAATTTGAACAATTTCATCTTGAACTATATTAAAGCTATAAATAAATGTTAAATTCTTAACACAATTTGTTGAAAAAATTTGTCTTCTTTTTGCTCTTGTCCCAAATCGCCTGCCCGCTTGCACTGCACAAAACGCTTTTTGCAAACATTCAAAATAACAAATGGTCGTGTCTCTGCTCACCATTGATGGCGGTAATTCATTAAGAGGGACATTTTTATGAGCAGCTAAAACAACAGAGCAACTTTTCGGCGCGCACAGCCCTCGGGGGACTGTTCGCCGCCGCCACGGAAAGTTTTCTTTTTAAAATAACTGGCAAAGAGCGGAACACGCTCTCCAGAGCGGCCGCGTCATCTCCTTTTGCCACCGCGAGACACCAATGCTTGTTTTCCGCCCGGCAGACGAGAACAAAAGTTGGCTTATCTTAATTACACGCATAATTAGTTCGGGGAATTCGGGCGCGCCAACACGAAATTTGATTTTTCAACGCACATTTTTCGAAGCCAAAAACTTTTCTTTTTCAAATTATCTGATATTATGAGATTAGATTTTTATAAAGATGGCAACTAGCCTAGATATATGAAATAAAATTCTCAATTTTAGCGTTAAATTATAAAGATTCTTAAGGAATCAAAGTAAAATAAAACCAACTTTTAAAATAAAAATGGGTAGCAAACGTTGGCACTGAATTCCTAAAAGCCAAAAGCTGCTCTTTTATGTTTCTTTCATTCCTTTTATTTTCTATAAAAATTTATAAAATTGAAGAATCATCAGTTGATCTAATTAATTGAATTCCGACTTTCAAATTAATATAAATTATAAAGATAATAGCTTAATTTTTTAGTGGAGAATTCTACGGAAACAATTGTTTGAACAAAAATTTGTATTTCAGTAAGAATATAAATTTTTTCTAAATAAATGAAATAAAAATTATTTATTTTTAATAACAAAAGGCAGCAAAATTATCTTTTAAACATCTTTCCTAGACTCGATCGACCCCACCAAACCAAATGTTTGTCCTTGCACCGTTCAAACAGTTAACAAAAACAATTTTTCATTAAAATAAATATTTTTTCCCTTCTGGCCTATTTAAATAAAAATAAAAATGTCTCTTATCTCTAGAGCACCTTTTGTTACATAAAATGTGATTTACCAGTTCATAAAGGATATAACGAGATGTTTTGCAGTTTCCATATTCAATCTTTTGACGTTTGCAGAACCGTCCTATGAATACAATAAACGGACATGTGTGTGTGCGAGATTCGCCTTTGGTCCAATTAGGGCTTTTCCGAGTCTGGCTCTCTCGCTGTGTGTCAAACAGCAATTATTGTCGGTGTCTGCGCTTTATTCGTGGGTGAATAAGGGCTGCACGAGCAGAAATAATTATCCAGCACGTGCGGTCAATGAAACGTCCATACACGAGACGAGGACACGTCATTAGGGCGACTTAAAAGTGCCTCTAGAGCGCGCCGCTCTAATCCGAAAGGGACACAATGGCCGGCCGGCTCTCTCCAGAGGTCCCGCCGACGACGGCCTGTGTTGCAATAAAAGGCTTCAACAACATTCACAATCAAACCAGATGGCCACTTGTGTGCACGCACAATTTGCCCGGCACAGAAAAAAAACGACTTGCAATATCACCAGGGTTGCGTTGAGGAGCAAAAGTAAATTGGGTCAAGATGAGAAAAAACTATTGTGGGAATAAAAAAACTTGAAGGTTTGCACCGAAAAAATTTTTATATTAAAATTCGGGCAAATCTTTTGATTTTCCTGCCAAAAAATGTGGAAGTTTTCACTAAAATTTAAGTTTAAAATTAAATTTTTACATTGCTTCTTTCTATGAAGTTCAAATGGAAAAGCAAAACCTGATTTCAACGTTTGAGATTGCAAATTTTCCAATTTTTGAGTCGATGTATTCAAATTTAAAGACTTAAATTTTGTGATCTATGTGGGTCTTTAAAGGTCAATTGAGTCGAAATTGGGCTCATCTGGCACCGCGTGGACGCAATTTATATTGTGGGCCGACAAAGCGAACAAAGAAAGCCTTTCTAGATTTGTCGATGGAATCAATATTGTATATTTGTAAGTGCCAACAGGTGGGGTGGGCGGCTGCGTGGAAAAAGCAGCTTTGTGTTTCAATCTCGTGTGCCGGAATCGGCTTATTTGTTGCTCATTTCATAATTAACAAGCTTGTCAAGCAGTGCGCGCCGCACACAATGGGCTTTCCGCCCGGAAAATTCTCTCAAGTTACCTTGCTGGCTGACACGAGAGAGCAGCGCAGGTACGTACTTTGCTGACAGCTTTGCTCTCGGTTGCTTACAGAATTGTTTTTGAATCATTGCAATGAAAATACTCTAGTTCAACTCAATGCATTGTTTTCAAAAGGCGTTCAACCATTTTCAATGAACCGTCAATTCTCTAAATTAGAACACTATTTTTTTCACACGATCTCCACCTTGACAGAGAGAAATTTGATGGAATTGAATTAATTAACTTATAGAATCAATTTAAGTTTAAAACTTGTTTAAACCTCATTTGTATATGGATGGGAAATATGATCATAAATGTGGTCTGCGTTATTCCAAGAAGTTTAGGTCGATTGAAAATTATACGAAGAGCCTCTCCTCAGGAATAATTTCAATATCTCATTATACCGTTGGAAGTGGCACTCGAGACGTTTTATGCATAACATTGCACAAACGCATTTAACCTCGTTTCGCCTGCGATGTATGCAATTCATCTAATTGTACGCCACCGCACAACCACCCTATTACGCTGGGAAAATCGATTCCACGCTAATAAGCGGAGAGGTGTGTATCGGTCTTTTATGTTTCACTCGCGGCGGCGGCGCTAAACTGCAAAAATATGCATGAAATTTTTCCCGTTGCCGCTTTAACAGTGGCGCAATATCCACCCTCTTTTATTGCAGGTACAAGGGCGCTAATATTAAATGAGCTTAGCTGCAGTCATGAATTTTATTCTATCTGTGCTTATTAAAACATCGCATTATAGGTAAACGTGAGAATGCGCGCGAAAGCAGGTAAAAAGTCGTTAAGAGGCGTGTTCGCAGTTCGCAGTGCGTGGCTGCGACACACCTGAATAATAAATAGCGGGTACGTTGTTAGCACCAAACTCCCTTGCTTGTTAGCACCAGAGTCGTTTAATTGGATTTCGGCTGCCGTCGATTCCCAGAAATATATCTTCTCACGACCACTTTATTTGTATACAACGCCAATTTATATCGCTTCACCAGCAAAAAAAAAAACGCATAATTTTGAGCAATTTTGAGTATGACTTAAAAAATTAATTCACTTTGCAAGCACAAATTGATGCACTTTAGAAGTAAAAGGATTGCAAAAAGCTTGTTTATGTCTAAAATAACTCAATTGTGAAAGGTGACTGACGTTTGTCGCGACTGAAGCGCCACCCACGGCGTTGCCAATAATTAATATTAAATTTTTTAGTATTTACGATGTTAATAATTATTTACACAGTTTAAAACTTATCTGAAGTAGTATTATTTAAGTATTCTTACCTTTAAATGCCGTAATTTGGAGACTCTAACAATGACACTGAAATCAAATAAGAATTCTATGTAAATTCAAAAGATCAAGGCAATAAAATACATAATTTTAAATAGCACTGATATTATAATAAAGTTTTAAGGCAAATATAAACCTTTAAAAAGGTTTAATTTTGTTTCAATGTTTTGTTACAAAACTAAATTTTGCCTAAATGTGATTCTTTCAACTGTTAGTAATGCGTTTTCCTGATTTAAAGAAAAAAAATGGGCATTTAGATACAAAATAATATAAATTTTTAATTAAATTATCAATTAAATGCTCAGTTCCTGAATATACTGAAAGTTTTCAAAATTTGTAATTGAAATGAACATAGAAATCGAATCCGTAAGAATTAGAGCAATCTATCCATTTTTCAACTAAAGTGGTCATTGAATTTACAAAATTTGTGTGTTTTTTTTAGCACCGAAGTGACATTCCACTCGATAACACAGGCTCTCGATTCGCACACTGTCAAATTGCCGGGCCTGTTCGATCCGTGCCCAACAACTTTTTTAACAATTTTTTTGAACATGCAAACCGGCGGTCGGCGGCGGCGTTGACCAGAACAACTCTGCCGGCCGTGCACTTGACACGGCTCGCGAAATTAGAGCGGATTTTTTCGCGATCGCATAATGGAATGAACATCGCACTTGCACATTCGCGGGAAAATAAAAGCGAGGAGTGACCCGGGCTAGTGTGCGAGAGCTCGACGTGTGTGCGGAACTACTAACTGGATGTGCAAATCAATGGTTCAGCAGCCGGACCGACCGACACACGAGGCTCTCGTGCAAATGCAGCTCAGGTAAAATGATCTCTCTCCGGGTGAAATAGGTGCAGACAGAGAGAGAAAATTCCTCTTTGTGCAGGGAGCGGCTTTGACGAGACCGCACGCCGACCGTGTGCGGCTTGCAGATGAGAATTACAACTCTGGTGTCCACCAATGTCCACCAGGGCTGAAGATTTGAATGGAAAATGGACGAAAGGAAAAAAGGACATTATTTTTGAGAGTAAAATTTTTTTAAACTCCATAATCTTCTTTAATTAAAAACATGAAATGAGAAAAAAACGTTAATTTTTTGCAAGTTGACAATATATTGAATGAAGAATTGAATAGAATCTTGTTTTGTTTTTCCCTATTTGTGTTTTTTTTTATTGATTTGATAGATTGATTTAAATTCGGTTTAATTAATAATAAATTTCAACACAAAAGCAAAAAATGCTTGTAACAAAAAGATGAAGTGCGAAAAACCTGTTTGATTGAAGATAATGCGAGGAAATGCGGGCAAGACGATGATAAATATTCATCCGAGCTTGAAGGTGTTTAGAGAAGGATTGCTTGAGCCGGGGCCGAGTGTGTGTGTGTGTTGATGGGCAGGCTAATAGGTGCTGGCAGCTAATATACTGCCCTGGGATTAGGGCCACGCAAGTCGGCTCGCTCTAATCAATCAGCCGACTCGTCCGGCCGGCCGGCCGTTTGAAAAATTTTAGACGGACGAGCCTCGGTCACGACACTCGGGCCATTACTTAACGCGTCGGCCGGCATTATCTTGTCCTCGATATTCTCGCCCCGACGCGAATCATTTTTATATACACGTGCGCGCGCGAATCTGAAATTTATGTGAATCGACTTTTGGACGTTTTAATCTCGCTCGGGCGGGACTTGCTCGCCTGGGAATCGAAAGAGCTGATTGATTTTTGAACAAAATTATCCGAATATTTTTACCAGTAAAATATAAATTTGATTGCTTTTATTGGAAAAAGCAAATTTGTTTTGAGTGGTTTATACTTAATTCAACTTTATGTGCTATGAAATTTTACTACAAACAGTTGAAAATGTTCTCTAAATTTTGAAAGGGTAACAATTAAGTATTAGATCCACAATAATTGACTTTTGTAAAACCTGTAAAGTTTGCTCCATTTGTTATTGATTTAAATTTGAACCAAAATTTCCCATTTTTATTTTTATAGGAATCAAAATTTTCCGCCCTGAAATTCCCACAGTGAAATATTTTAAACAATTAAGAATATTGTAAAAACTTTAAATAATTATATTAATATTCAATATATTAAATGCAAATAGTGTAAAAAATTTGAAACAAATTAAAAAATAAAATTTGTTTTCATTAACATAAAAAAAATAACTGAAATAACAAAATTTTTAAAAATGTAGATCTTGAGGTTAAAATGTTACTTTTATTAATATTAGTTTTAAAAAGAACAAAAGCACTTTAAATAGGTCGAGCTATGTTTTGCAATTTTCCAATTCTGAGCGGTCAAATGCTATTTTTAGAGAGACGAGAAGCGAATCGAAGGCATTTTTTTTTTCCGCTTTGACACTCTGCGAATGTGTCAATGTTTATTTTTTCACGGTGCGTGTGATCGAGTGCTCGTGTAGGAAAATCTCTCTCTCAGTCTCGCTGTGCAAATATTATTTACGCCTGTGGTGCTGGCAACAGAATTCATCAATAAAAAACGCACACTCTTGGGGAATCGCAGCAAAACTCAGCTTCGCACGCACTCGATATTTTAATAACGCAAATGAGTTCTGATAGATTTTGCACGCAGGAAGTGAAAAGTGATTATTCACTCGCGCAAAGCGTTCCAAAAATGATGATCAAAGAATTAATTATAGGTAGTGCTGGCGGCACTTTGTGTGCTTCGGGTCGATACAGGTGATTATCAGACACCGAAATAAGTGCACGCTAAACAAAATTAAAACTCGATAAAGATGGAAATCGCGGCGTGAATTATGGCGGACAGAAAATGGCCTCGTAATTAAATCGACGAGGCGATTTATTGACCCGCAGCACTTGATTTCCAAATGCATCGAGTTTTCTGCTACAAATATATATTCCGATTAAATTAAGATAGGATCATTTTTCTATTTAATAAATCTTTCTAGAAAAAAATTAATTCTTTTTTTTCTTTTTTTTTAATAATGGTTTTTATTTTAGCCAAAATAATTTCTTTTTATTTTACTCCAAACTAAATTCTGAGAACCGATCTTCAAATATAATTGTTTATAATTCATAATTATTCAATCGACATTTCATATATTTTCTGAAGAATTTGAAATAAAATTACCATTTAAATAAGGTTTAAACTAACTTTTGCATCTTTTTTTCGTGAAAAAAGTGACTTTTTCCACCATTGAAGCAATAATTCATAAGCAGGTATGAAAAATCTGGACGGATTTTCCAACGAATCTCTGTGTCGCCAGTGAGAAAAAACGACGAGACACGCTGCACGAGTTAAAAATGTTGAAAAGTTGCAGCAGCTGCGGGTGACAACCTTCTTATTAATTACTGCCGCGTGCCGGAATGGTCGCCGCGGAAAAATGCAAACTTTTTTTCCACTGCAAAGAGCAACGACGCCGTCCTTTCCATGCACGCGCTTAAAATATCTCGCACGCGGCTGGGAAATGCTCTCTCATTAAAACGATTTATTCAGAACAACACAACAATGAGAGAGGATCGACAAATGATCAAAAGTTCTTTTTATTTTTGCAGCGTGTTTCGTCATCATTTGACGCGCCGTTTTAATTTGCACCCGCGCAGAGAGTCTCATTAAGGCTGCACCAGTTGAATATGAACTGCAACTCTCTTGTTCTAATTCTCTGCTTTTTCGGAATTAAGAGAGATGAAAAATCGATTCGGCCAAATGCACCGGAGCTGTCGTGTTGACCAGGCACTTTTAGCTCTCTCGCTGCTTTTTACATTAGACGACACGAACGGAGGAAAAAGAGGCGCGACTTTTAAAAAGCGAGTACTCGGGTGTTAACGAGGAGCAGTGCTGTTGTGTGCTCGTAAAGTTGATGACCCTTTAAGAGCAACTCTCTCGTTCGGCCACATTTCCTCTAAATGAGAGAGAACGGGGCAAAAACCGTCTAGCCACTCAGATTGGCTCCAAAAACAAATCCTTGTCCAAATATTTGCTTTGAACGCATTCAATTTTCAAGCTTTTTATTTGTGTACAAATGTAATCATGCAGGTTTCTTCCAGATTTTTGATTGAATAAAACGTGAGTATAAAATATTGTTAATCAAGGGATAATAAAAAACGAAACTATTTCTTGTGTCGAAAATGCATTAAATAGAAAAAGTTTAGCTTTTATAACATAATAGTGTTGAAATAGAAAAATAAAATAATATTTAATAACTATTTAAAATAATATTAAGAAAATTTAATAAGTGTTATTAATATTAGTATTATTTAATTTATAATTTAAATTACAATATTTATTTATTTATTTTTATTTCATAATCTATCATGGGGCTTCTTTAAGCATATCATATTTAAAGAAAATTCTTTAAAAAGATAAAAAGTGGGCGTTTGTAAGTCCAATTCACTCTTTACAAAAAAAAAACTTATTTTCTTCGTGATGATTGTTTTGTAATTAAATTTCATCAAAGTTATTATTGCTGTATATAAATTACATTAAATCATGACACATATGGTGTGAACTAAACTTAAAAATGTTAAGGTACAGGAAACCTCAAAGCCTACAATGACGACCATTATTTTTACTGCACGAATTTGTGTTTACAAAATTTACAAAATTTTCAAACAATTTTATTTTCAAACAACCTTAGTCTAAGTGCAAAGAATTTATAGTTGAAATGATTTTCGAAAATTGAAGTTTGTATATCTGAATGAATTTTGGGCAACGAAGAATCTCTAAATTCAATTTAGCACAATTTTATTTGCATATCAAAACAATCCTCTCGCGCTTTCTTCGCCCCTCTGATGTTTGAATATATCACATTTGGAAATTTAAATTAATCCCTTTTGCCGGTGGTTGAATAAAAACCCAACGTCCGTCATCTCGCAGTCAGTCAGTCAGGATTATGTTATTGTTTCACGCTCTGCATGTTAAATCGCGAACGTGAAATATGCGCCTGTCACTGATCAGGTTTGACGGTTTGCTGCCGCTTTTTGCTCGCGGCGGCCACACGCACGCCTCCATCCCCCAGTTTGCAACCCTCCGCACATATCGCAAATGTGCTGATTTAGCCAAAACTTCTGACTACGGAAAGTCCCTTATTTTTATTTTGCACTACAAAAAAGAAAAAATTTACACTAAATTTAAAATTATTTATTATATTTTGATTTAATTTCAAATAAAATTGTGCAGTGTCTGTGGTTTTTAAATAAATAGAAAACTATACATTTATAAGTGCTGAGCAGTGTTGAAATCATCAATTCTGGCCACAAAACTAGAGCTGCGAGTTTGATTGATGCGTTTCAAATCGAGCCAGAACGGCAGCGGTGGCGAAAAACAGACAGGCCACGTTTGTTTAACACGACTTGTGGCCAGTTTGTTCTCTTTAATTTGATATATTCGCCCTGATGAAAACGCAGTCAGGAAAGGGTAGGGGGTTGTTTATGTAAATCAAAGCGAAAGTTAAAAAGGAAATGCGTGCAGGCAAGTCATTTTAAATAGAACTAACCACAAGTTTCATTTGAAATTAGTGTATTTATAAGTCAAGATTGTCTTTTTTTATAATTTATGTTTAGCGTGTTTAGTAATAAATCCTTATAATATTTTTATGTATAAACGATTCAATATCATCATCCTCTGAAGACGAATATTAATTACTTCATGGATGAATATGATTTTTTCCATCAACAGTTCTTCAAATTTAAAATAAATTTATAAAAAACTTACTGACGCTTTAAATAAACCTTTTAAAAATTGTATAACATAAATATTAAAATAAATCAATTTAATCTTTGTTATTATATCAATTTACTTTAACAATTCAATAATAACGAATTATTTAAAAAATTAAAAAATATTATCTTGATTATTTTTTATAATTATTTAGTTTTTACTTACAATTTAATGCACTTACTAAATTTCACGGACTCGAGAATAATGCTCTTCCGTCCAATTAGAGACCCTTCTCTTGAGGGCGGCCAGAGAACTTGGCACTTCTTGGTAGGTACAAATATATATCCCGGGGCAAAACGCTGCAGTGTTGAACGTAATTTAACTTTGCTCGGCTCGCTGGCACCACTACTTTTTAGATTATTTCCCTGAAGATGTGTCTGTCACTTTTCAACAACTTAAATTCCATTGCCCCATAAGAAGAAGGTTCTTGTGAGGAAGAGCAGCGCACACTCGCACGCACGACAAAATTGACCAGGGGAGAAAAATATGGGGTCGTAAAGTTGGTATGGTGCGAAATTGATGCAACGCGTCTCTCACTCGCTCTCTCATTTCGTTGCATATATTTCACCGGGTCAGTGTGGAAAAGTCGGGAAAATCCGGTGAAATTAATTTTTGTGATTACTTTACCAAAATTAGATCACTAAAGATAAAGTGAATTCATTAATTTATCAAATTAAAACCGTTTACTATGGAAATTTTCTAAAAGTATTTTTATGTACCCAAAATTTGACTGATCAAAATGGATAAAAATTTTAAGATCAAACAAGTTGGTAAAATAAAAATGAACATTCGTCTTACGTGAAAAAGCTCAGAAAACGTTACTTTATCTCCTAATTTGCCAGGTCGATCGCTGCGCATTTGTTGAAATCAATCCAAACAACTTTTGGACTCGGTGAACGTTTATTGAAATGCAATATCAAAGCGAGTTATCCGAGCCAAATAAACACGAGACCATTTCACGCTCAACTTTGCCAAGTTATGCAATCCGTCGGGACGGCAAACTTCGCGGGTTGCCTAGTCGTTTTCATAATTCCCGACCGCCGGCGGCCGCGCGCTGCAATATTTGGAAACGCCTACTCGTTTTGAACCATTAGCGGATAATATTATGTTGTTTGACTTGGTCGAGTTAATGACAAAATCTGTGGCCCAGAGTCAATTTCATATAAAACGCGATGGATTTCGCTCGACCGCAAACATGCGATCACGCGCAGTGTAATAAACTTTGCATTTTATTGGAAATTAATCCTCGCTGTTTAGAGATAAAAATTAATACTTGTAAAATGATCACTAAAGCGCTGGGAGATCAAAAACGTTATCCACAATGTCACAAATGTGATTAAAAAAATCGACAAAAATTCGTTTTAAAGATAAAAAATGTTCTGAGAAAGATGTTTTAATTTAATGTAATATGAAATTCACACTTATGGCCGAAACTTGCTATTTCCCAGAAAACTTTAAAATCCTTACAAAACCCATTGCAAAATTTCTATTTGTTAAATTAAAAGAATGAATTTAAAACAACTGTAGTTCCAATAGTTGCCGCCTAATTTACCCCAGCCCTATTAAATTTTATTATTTGTCTTTTAAATAAAATAATTTTATTATTTAATTACTTTTTAATACCAAAATTTAAATGATATATGAATTGAAACAACTTTAGTTCCAACAGTTGCCGCTTACTTTACACCAGCCCTACTAAATGTTATTATTAATCTTTTAAATTTAATATTTTTACTAATATTAATATTTAAATAAATGTTTATTTTGAATGACTTTTAACATTTCGCTACTACTTAAAACGGTTGAAATAATTTACAACAATTTCTAGATTGCAAAGGTTAAGGAAATTTATGAGAAAAACATAAAAAATTGATTTGCAAACCTCAATTAAAAATTTGGCAAACGTAATTTCCGTTTGTTGAGTCGAGTTGGCTGCCAATCAACGGCATCCCCAGCGCCTCGTAAAGCCAGACCTAAAAACACATAAAACCAAGGATGCAACACACACGGGGCAATAAAATATAATCTCGAGACGCCAAGTATGCAGGAATGCGTACGTAATATCCGAGAAGAAGCGAGTTTATGAAGAACGGCGCAGGAATGCTCGTTTCTCCTTCGCCTTATTGGAAAAAAAACAGGAGGAGGAAAAAATCGGTGCTCGCGACATTAGGCGGGTAATGAATTTTGTTGCGTGTCCAGCGCGAGTTTGTTAATGCGTCGGACCGAGTTGGAATTGCGTGCTGCAGAGACCGGAAGGAAGGCGCGCGGATCGCAGCCTGCATCATCATCTCCCGCTTTCTTAATGGAGAACATTTTTTTTTATTCACTTTAACCTTCTCCTTCGTCTTGTCTCGATAAATTATCGCCCCCGACTAATTCTTGTATTTTTTTCTCCGTCTGTTTCGTGCGCGGCAATTTTCATTGCGTGCCGCTTTTCCAATTTCGACAAATCGATTACGCGCTTCTGATTGAATATTCATGTCAGTCGGATGTCGGCGCGTGTAATTCGTTGATATGTGAAATAAAAATTGATTCGATTAAACTCACTCGATTAAAAAAATATGAACAGAGACGTATTTGTGCCGAGTCAATTGCATTTACAATTGATGGTAATATTTTCTTATTGCATTGACGTATTTTTAATTGCTAAATTTACAATAGAAAGATTAAAAAGGATCACTATAATAAAAAAGATTCTTTTATAAGTCTTGAGAGGAGAGACAAGTTTTTTTTTTGCTGTACAAAAATACAATAACCGATTGTTCTAATCTGCCTTTTACCTGTTTAACTTTTTATAAATATATTTCCAGGGAGAAATAATGCAAAATATGTATATTCTATAATTTTTCAAACTGAATAAATAGTAGTTTTTAAAGTTTTCAAAATGATTATTAAACCCAAATTATTTTTTTAATAATCATATCATTACAAATAAATAATGATAGCATTAGAAATAGTTTTTCAGTTAAAAAAAAATAAAATAAAAGGAATTTTAAAAAGTAAATTTATTCCAATGAATTAATACAAGCGATTAGAGAGCCGCAAATTTAATTAAAAAGATGTATTTAAAAATTCTGCACTCTTAATTTTGATCAAACGGTATGGTTGGGAAAGAAAAAATGTTACAAAAATAAAATATTTCATTATTTAAAATCCATTATTTGAATATTAATGATTTAAAAACATTTAAAAAAGATTAATTTAATAATTTTAAACTAATTATTAACACTAGGACGGCGAAAAATTGAACTAATTCTCACAAATTAAAAATAAATTTTATTTACATTTTTAAATGTTTAATATCGTTTTTAAATCTTTCAATTTTGGCTACCTGTATTATCTCAGCACTATTGAGAAGTAGGTCAGAAAAGTATTCACAAATAAACTTCAAGTAAAATTCATATAATTTAAATTTTAATACGTATTAATAATTCATATTTTGTTCATTATTTTTTTCTAAACCCGAATGATTAAAAATGGCAAAAAAATTCAAAATTATGTTAGTGTTTTTGGCAAGAAACTTGAAGACAATCTCAGTAATGAAAACCGTGACTTCTTTCTTTTTCAAAATACCACACGTACTTTCCCTTCTCTTATGTTTGCCCATCAGATAAAATTTTAAACGTCGTCTCATTGGAAAGAAAAATACGCGGCGAGGGAGCGAAGATGCGCCTGGGCTTCACTTAGGCCGTATTGTTTGTCGCGGGGGAAGAAGATGCAGCGACACAAGTATTAGAGAGGATTGCGCGACGAGTATGGGGCATTCATTGTACACGCACTTCGTCCCTGGCTGCGGAACACACTCATTTCGTGCAAAGCGGCCGCCTTTGTTTTGCCGGCATAAACAGCACGGCGAGCGCAGCGACAAAAGGAGGAGCAGCAGCAAAACTCATATTGCTAAAAAGCAGGACGCGGATGAGAGCTCCTTTACATCGGAATCAATCTTTTAAATGGATTCTCAAACAGCTGCCGGCAGAATTTCTCCTCGACTGCGCCCTGCCTTGAGCTTTGATTCTCCTCCGGGCGGAAAAAGTTGCACTATTTTTCCGTGTGTGTGTTTTTTCCCTTCCACTTTGTCAGACTCGGATGAAAACGGCGGAGTTTAAACTGGGACGCGAGGATTTATTCGCGAGCAAAGGGAAGCGTTTTGCATATATTTGAGAAATATCTGTTGTCGTGGATCTGCAAAAAGTTGTTCTCGTGCAAATATTGTCAGCGGACTTCATTTAAGCCAAAATTTCAGTCCCCATGTGCACGGAGTTACTTTAAAAATGACTTTTTTTCTTCCAAAACTCCCCAAAATGCTCTTCTTTTCATGCAAATATTTTCAGAATAAGAGTTAAAATTTGTTTCCACGTTGCTTGAATAACGATTCTCAAAACGATTCTCGAGAAACGTTTCTCAAACAACGATTCTCGTGAAAGGATTCTCCAGGAACGTTTCTGTCTTTAAAATTCAACTAAAGAATCGTTCCATGAGAATCCTTGCGCGAGAATCTTTTCTCGAGAATAATTTCTCTGATATATTTGGAGCCACTAAGAATTTTCCCTTATATATTTCTTTTAAGATATTTCTGGTCCTTTATTAAGATAAATTAGAATTAACTTCAATAAAGAATATACAAAAAAGTTTGAGTTTCAAAAACACGACTGCACATGCAATAGAACGTGTTTTATTTTACTTGTTTGAAGTTTGAAAGCGCAACATTTTTGAACTCTCTTCTCTTCACATCCTGAGGGGCATGAAAATTAACAAGTAGCGCAGGAGCATTTACAACTTATGGGCCGCAAAGTTGGCAAACTCTTCGCACGTCGCCCGCCCACCTGGAAAATTTTACGAGGCCGCGACAATTACGACTCTCTGAGCACGAGGAAAATGAGTTAATATTCTTCTCCCGAATCCACGCCGCAGACCAAATTTTTCCTCTGAAAAGCGCATAATCCGTAAACAATGGAGCTGAAATTTTTATGTGCGCGTAAAGCAGGCGAAAAGTGGCTGGCGGTATAAAATCGAGCGGTGACTGAGTGGAATCTCGAATATTTTCCAACATATAAGGAGATGCAAGCGGTGGTGCGAATCCCATTTATGGCCGGCTGCACTCTCTGATCAGATCGATAGCAGATATGAGAGCGAAGAGCAACAGCTGCAGCAGCTTCTTTGTGCCGCGCGCCGGCCGGACGGACTCTCTTATCAAGTCAAACTCGCGGCGAATTTGCACTGCGGTTTGACCCCGTTATGAACCTCAAGCGTTGAGTAAACCGACTTTTGCACGTGCGCCCGTACCAGACTGATAAATACAAGTTCATTTCTCAAAATTGTTAGAACCTGTTAAATGAATTAATCGATTAATTAAAAAAATAACATTAAAATGTTTTAATTTAAACTTTATCATTAGACAAAATTGTACAGATTTACTGAACTTACAAAGTTGTTTTTCTTTTTTGAAATAAAAACTGTGAATTCTATGAAAAAAAATCAGTTTCCAGGGCCTTTGGAGGAATGGACTTTTTTACTAAAAAAATCATAAAATTGCTTAAAAGAGACCTTGACCTTTGACCCACAGCTTTGGTGTCAATGAAAAGTTGTTTGGCAAAAAACTTCTTTCAGAGTTGAAATTTTTATCTGCTGTAGCATTCGCGGTTGCAGAGTTTTACAAGTTTTAATTTTTTTCCAAATTTTTGCGGTTAAAGAATGTTTATAAACAATTCTTTTTAATAAATATATGTGAAACTCTAAATGATTGGCTTTAAAAAAAAATCCACCAGAGACTCCATGAAAATGCCCTCATCAGTTTTAAAACTTTCATTCAGATCTTCTGATTCTGATTAATATTAATTTTTAGGGTTTTCCAGTGAGTTTGTTTATTATACATATTTTTAAATTTAGGTAAGATTTTCACTGTCATTTTTGTTTTTAATTTGTCGAGCATAAAGGAAATCGGAAGAAGATTGTTTTACGTTTTTAAGGGGAGGAAATTGGAATCAAAATGACATGGAAACACGAGCTGCGGTTGACGGATACTCAATCTCGTTTGCGTCCTTGTATTGTTTTCCTGGCTTGCTTGCTTCACTGGAAGAAACCGAATCGAATACGAGAAGATGCGGCGCACGATTCGGACGGAGAAAGGCAGAGCGCGATACGGAAAAGGATTCGCATCCAATTTGTCGGTGGTAATCCGCCTTTTCAATATGGAGACTCGGGGCTTATTATTTTAATGCAAAAATCCGTCACCGCGCGTGATGGATCGAATTACCGACCGCGGGCGAATTTACTCAATTAGTGTAAACCGCGGCGGAATGTCAGTCAAAAACTCCATTTCTTTCTTTGCACGTGTCAAGCGCCAATCTCGCGATTCAAATTCACTTAAGACGGATCTGTTCATTTTTGCTGCGTCTCTCCCCTTTAAATTGTGCGCGCGCTCGCAATCAGTTTCCACTCATTACTTTTTAATTAGGCCAATTATCGTTGTTGTTCGGCGCCACCGCTTTTGTTCTCGCGCAAAACACAATCTCCCCCGACCCGTCAAAAAATGAAATGTCAGCTGCAAGAATTTCGATCGATAAAATGCTAATGATGACGAAAAGAATGCGGATTTTCGTTCAATCGAAATCTCGTTTTAAAAAAGCGATCCGAGAGAGTTCATTGCTGCTATTTTATTGCTGCGAACTTTCTCGAAATAATCGCTTCTGTCGAAGAACAAGAGCGAAAAAGTAAGCACTGGGCACGTCTCCTCTTTTTCCGCTACACTTGTTTTTATTCGAGTTTAATAAGAAAAATTATTTGGCGCTCGTCTCGGCGCTGCTGCGATTAATTAAATTTGCAAACTCCTTCTCGGCTGCTGAATTCCAGCTCAGAATATTCGTTTTCGTGTCGAACACGGTGCAGTAGTATTATTGACGCGAGAGCAAAACGCATTTCCTGCCTCGCCGAAGCGAGTGTCACTTTGCACTGAAACTAATTTCCCGCCTTTGAG